ATGTCATCATCGAGGCGGATAAACGTCGTTGATCTCACATCAATCTACAAGCTGCAGCGGATCTGCCGTAGCTTTGCGCTTTGAGGAAGCGTAAGTTGGGTCACTGACCTTTCGTTCTATACTTAGAACAAGTACAAGTTTAGCGGATCGCAATCCGATTACTCCAAGAGTAATTACTGCCGTAACCCAAGGCTAATTAACTCTTCCGTTTAAATTCAAAATTGATTTTATTTATTTTTATCTGCGGCAAAGCCGCCTAATTTCAAATGCATAGAAAGTCCTAAATATGTATAGTAAAATCTAAATGCATGTATAACTACTGGCTATCCAGCCCCGTACCATATTCTTGTTTGGGTGTGTTCACACCATGCCCATCTGGTGTGACACACACCCTGTTACAAGGGTATGTGTAACCCCGTTACACACGTAGTCATGCTCATACCCACGAGACTTCTGATACGTCTACCAGCAATGTTTGAAATATTTAAAAGTCGACCGCGCCTCTAGTGGGGCGTGCTCCTCACATCAAATACGAAATGGGTCTGCAGGAGATCAAGAAGTTAGAAAAGGCCTAAAGCCTTTTCAGCTCAGACTGTGAAAGGGATAATGAAGTGAGGTGCACTTTGTACTTAACCACTACACGCGCTGAATATGTAGGTAGATAAATTTAGATTTTACATCGTTTATCATCGACGTTAAGCTCGTAATTGTTTTTCTGCTTTAAACATTTATACCTTGCCTATACAATACTTGGATCTCAGCATTAGAATTACGAACTCGGAGCATTATGCTAACTCCTTATCATATAATTAGATGGTTTTGATACGAAGCGTAGACGGGCAGGCATCATCAAGTCAATTTGTACCAACGAAGAATGATGTTAGCCGCGGGCGTTAGAAAAAGCGGGAATTTGTCTGCCCATTTTCAAATTAGCGTCAATCCTGTTGGAGCATGGGCTGCGTTGTTCGACATAAACCTCAGTGCATGGCAGTATGTCTTTGAAAATATGTATCGTGGGGGATATTACAATCACAACACCACTAGTACATTCCGTCAGACCATTTATCTGCAAATGACCTGCCTCATATATATATATATATTGAATGAAGTTGGCAAAAAAATGATTGAAATTTGCGGGTGACCGTTGCCACAGGCAAGCCTAGTTGGCAAAAGACTTTGCTTAAAAACGGCCCAGCTGAAGATTCACTGGTGATGGTATGTCTACCTAGGGCGAAGAGACAATCGTCTCAATCGGTCTACATAGACTGCAAACAACGTAAAATCGGAAGCATCTTCGGAAGTCCGAAATCAAATTCCAGACTTTGAACTGCCATTTCTGACAGAACTAGCAGGATGGGTAAAGGAACCATAACACGAGGCAAGGTTTTTGCGACTTAGCATGATTCACACGTGTGCACTTAAGCGCTTACCCATTCGTGAATTTTGGGCCACCAGCACATAGCACTCAGCGGAGCGTCTATCGTCGATTGCCTAAGATGTCTTCCAAAGAGGTATCATGTTCCTTTTATATAAATTTGTACCTCGCTTCCTCGGCATGAGGTAATGGCCCGTTGTTAAATCATAGCATATGTTGAGACAAGGAATTACGGTGTGAATGTGCATGCGATGTTTAGATCAAGCGATAACCAAGCTCAAACTGTCGAGTGGTAACGGCTTAGATCGCACGCGTGTGCACAATCCGCTACCAACTCAAGTCAAGTTGCAAGCTCAAAAGCCCAATCAGTACGAAAGAGAAAGTTCAAATATGATCAGCATAGACTAACAAAATAGCCAGTGTTTGATGATTGCACAGCAGGTTTGCAAATAGGCCGTACGCCGACACAGCAAAACAAGTATTTGGTCAATGGGAGGCAACTTAAAGGCGCAAGGGATGTAGTCTAAGTGCTCACTAACCTCGTGCTACATATAGACCGTCTGAAGGTGTCGAAAAGTGGATCAGGGAGTTTTTGGGCAAACTTCTTCGAGTCGGCATTAGGGTAAGGTAATGCTCTGCGATAACAGGTCATCGCCCACCCGTTACATATTTTGAGGTGAGACAAAAAGACTATGGACTGCGGGGTACAGCCAGAAACGAAGAGATAACGCAAGAACTCTCGTAACGCTCACTTTAGCGCCGGGATACTATAGACGGACATTTGCACTGTGGTAGCTTGAGATAGGAATCTTATCATTTAACGTCAGTAAGGAATAATAATTTTTACGATACCAAGGCCCTGGGTATCGACATCCAGGACGAGATAGTGATGCATTTTTAATGGTTGTTGGGACATTTGATCTTAGACACAAGAGTCAAGATGGTCGACAACGGGGATTGTATTCTCTCGAGCTAATTTGCATGTGTACAAAGCTAACAGTCCAGTGAATGGAGATTCGGGCAGTTATGCGCGATCGACGTGATATTAAGATATATTTGCTTCTATTTTCTTGGTAATGTGGCACCAACAGATAGATTCAAAGACAGCGACTTAAAAAATATGATAAAGCAAAAGACAGACTATTGCTGTAAATCATTTTCGGCGACGACAGGAGACACGGCAGCGCTAAGTTAAGTAACACATAGAATAATTTGCGAAGCATCTAAGCTATCTGCTGCACGCTGACCATAGTTTAAGACTTAAGTCGCTGAATTTATTCGGCAAGGATGCTAGAGCTGATATGCAGACCAGTGTTCCAAGGAATAAGGTCAACAAACCAATAGAAAGCGATGTACAGCGTTGAATCTGTTGCGAAAAATGGTGTTCGTGTGAATGACCAATGAGTCTCTGGGTGATGCGGCAAAGAGCCTGGCCACCACTTGAACTAAATACTAACCAATGCAACCCTAAGAAACAAGACGCTCATACAGTCGCTGACAAATAATGCACCAGATTTAAGACTTATAATGGCATTTGTACTGCTATGCACGGTGCACGTGTTACCCCGCAAGCAAGTCTTGGGTCAGAGAAAGGCCGGAAACATCGTCAGAAGAGGCAACGAAATAAAAGGTATATCCTCTTGGAAATTAGAGTAACGGTGGCGACATAACATATAATTCTAATTGAATGGCTGTTACATGGCCAAGGCAAACATTAAGATAGATCACATTTTTGGAGCTTACATGACGACGAGCCGAAGAAGGCCAAGAGGAAAGGCAAGCAGCAAATGGGGCAGAAGAAGCAACAGTGAATAGAAGACCTCTGTATTATTCGTGGATAATCGTGCAGGATACATCGGGATGAAGGATAATTTAGTCCAGGCGACAAGTCGCGTGAGGAATGGACGAACGTGATAAATAGCATCAGAGAGCCTGATCCAGTGGACCTTAAAAAAGCTGTAACCAGCGTGTTAACGAACAAGCGGACTAGAGCGAATAAAGAAGAGATTTATCATACAAGAAGATGGGGGTGTATATAGTGGCTGTTCCATCCAGGGGCGGTTTCACCTCTATACTTAGTGAATTCGACCGATGCGA